GCTGAAGAGAGTTGGTGATGGAATGATGTCTTGGATAATTTTCTTTACAAATACAGGAAGCCTTCATAAAATTTCCTCAGGGTATCCCAAGGAAAAGGTGAAGAGGTGACACAAAATATGACTCAGAAGAAGCACTTCTACAGATGGCCCAGAAAAAAGATGATTCAAGTAAGCAGCTTTCTGCTGATGCATTGTGGTCTTAGAAGAAACCTTGAAGCAGTTTTTCTCAAACGCCGGTCCACAGATCACACATCAGAGTTACCAGGGAGCGCTTGTTAAAACCCACCTTCTCCAGATCCACAGAGAAGGGATCTCTAGGGGATGAGCCAGGAAATCTGCAGCTTCTACAAGATTCCCAGGGGATTCCTAAATACATCAGAGCCGAGAACCACTGCCCTAGAACAGCGGTCTTTAGACCTTTTTTTTTTTATTTTGGTTGTATGTTCTAAAAGAATTTTGAAAAATTAGGTATCGTTTCACATGTTTTTAGGTTGATATCTCGAGTTTTTTGTTGTAAGTTTAACCAGTCACAAAAAGACATTTGAAAAGTGTATTGTAATACTGACGTTTCCAAACATATCTTTTATATCACTTTAAAATGTACACAATTCAGCTTAAAAACCCATATCCAATAAAAATCTAAATATATGAACAAGCTCTTCTTTAGCAGTTAAAATTTTTACATTTTCTCCTTGAACTCATGTTTCCATCCCACTTCCTCCACAGAATTTTATTCAAATGCAACGTATTTTATGCTTGGAAGTCTTTGTTTTAATCACCCTATCATACTTCCCTGGAAAATATGTATGTAGGTTGAAATTTTATTTTTTTATTTCCTGTGACCTTAAGGTTCTAAGTGTTAAAATTCCTTCACAATTGCATTAGCATAAATACTTTTTAGGTATAATGAATTATTTTGGAGATGCTTCTATTAGTTTGATGGGTAGACTGTTTTCCCCCTATTTAGTTGATGTATTCATAGGTGAATATTACATATGGCTGGAATAAGACAGTCTTCAGCATCAATTTTATTCATATTTTTTGTTTTACGTACAATGATCCCTGAGAAAACTTGTTTACACAAGTAGATGGGAATGGAAGGTATTTGATTATAGCAGTGTCACTCAAATCTTTGAACTCCTTCTGAATTATAAACTAAAACCCATATAGTAATTTATCATCAACATTAATTTTTAATAAATCTAAGCTGACAATTTTATTAGGTCATCCATCAATTTTGTTGAAAGCAAAGAATTGGAAACCATCTGACCTACAAAAGAATTTGTAATCCAGTCACTATCATTCACTCTCTTTAACCCCAACACCAACATTTTTGAACTGTGTCTTGCCCTAGAAGTTTGTAAACGCCCCCAAAGCAAATCACTGAAGTAAGTCAATGAAGTAAGATTTCAAATTGTTGAAAGGTATTCCATTTTAACAAGTGGGAAAGTGTGATGAGGGTAGGGGAGATGAGAAAAGAGGCCAAGGGGAATTTTCAGGCAGATCATTTTAGAAAAAGAGTACTTGTGGAAATTGAGGATCCAGCAAAAGATTCCCTGAAAACTGCCCTTGTTTCCACATTTCTTGAAAAGTGTTTGTGAAAGTTCACATACCTCAGTTTGAAGACCATTGTACCAACTGCTTGGACACATTTAGAGAATGCATTGCTTTTAAAAAGACCTCAACAATAACAGAGAGAATTCACGAGTCCTTAAATTTATCTCAATCTTCTTAACTACCTGGATTCACTCCAAATATAGATGCAGCCTAGCTTGGGGCAGCTATAGCAAGGGTTAAGGTGAAGCAGATGACAAAATGGTTAAAACAAACAGCGTAGGGAGATGTGGAAGATCTTGCACAGCCTACAAGTTTTGCCATTGTGATTTTGCCAGTACTTCTCTCTTTATTGTAGTTAATGAAATCCTTATAATCTCCTCAAGGATTGACCTGGCTCTGGGTCAGAAAGGACCAGAAGGTCCTCATGTTTCCTCCCTGAGGTTGCCGTAATTTCATTGCCAAGACCAAAGCTGAGGGAGGCAAGAATAAGAAAGCCTCTCTCTTTCTCTCTCTCTCTTTTTTTTTTTTTTTTTTTGCTTTAATAAGAAAATAATTGCCTCTACTCTTGGAGACCTTGCTTAATTAGACTAATCTGATTTTCTACTGGTAAAACTAACACTAAAATGTTATTGCTCTGAGTTCTCTAATTATAGCGCAATCACACTTTTTCTTAACAGATACTAAAACCAAATGCTATAATGTTGGATGAGGTCATTGTGAATAGCTTGTTATAAGGTCTATTTTGAGGTACCACATGAATTTCAGTGAATATTATGCAGCGACAAGGAAACAGCAGAAAGTTGACTGCAGAAAAAAATCATGAATTGCCACTATAATTTATCTAAACAGTGATGAGGTTCCACAAGTTATTTCATAGAAGTATATTCACTGACTAGAACCTCCTGATCTTCCACCCCAGACTCTTTAAACTCTACCCCTTTCTAATTTCCCCTCTTAGCCATCCCCTTCTTCATTTTCTTCCCTGCATAGCCTGAACACAATGATCAGCTTTTTGATGGATACTGTCACCAGCACTATTAGTCCCATTACTCCGTTGAACTTCTGCTTATCTATTCTGCCAAGTTGCAGCTCAGAGTCAAATAATCACCTGTTCTCTCTACTATTGCTGCTAGTTTTCCAAGTACTGCTGGAGAAATTGTGTAACTGCTGCTCCATGCCATGAAAATCTGCATCTCCCAAACTCACCTTGACTCTTAACACTACTTGGCAATTCTTTCATTCTTGCCTGGTTGGCTTCCTTTTCCACTGCTCAGGTGCTATTCCCATCCTCAAGTCATTACTCTTCCAAAGTTTCCTACCAAGCTTCCTCAATCAACAGATAACCCAAGTTCTTGCTTCAGGAAAAATTAATGTTCAGTTTCCCTCCTTTCCACTTCCAGTCATCTGTAGCTTTACCCTCACTTCCTCTGTCCCAGAGATAATGTAGTGTATCACTTATCCCGTTTCAATGCTGTTTTTCGTTTTTAAGTTCTTTACTATAAAGTCTGTGTACATTATTACAGGGAAATATCCTTCTTGGAAGTCTTATTCCAAGTTGAAGAAATGAGCATCGGAACGTTAGGAAATAAAGGTGCTGATTGGCCGCAGGAAAGAATGCATCAGAATAGCAAGTGTTCTTCCACGTTCAGTCGTTCGCAACCAAGGACAGAAAGGATGGTGAGTTGGGATGCTACCCACCCATTAAATATTTTAAAATTCTAACATAATTCTCTCAACCAAATGTCACGACATGAAATTTAAAGAGTCCATGCTTTAGTGATCAGTGCCATTTTTGTCCTCTCCTATTTGGTACCACCTGCCACACCTGCAGTCTAAAAAGCCACTAATAATAATTAGCCCACTTGGTTCCTTCTTTTAACTGGGTGAAGTTTGCTCACCATCATTTAACCCAAACTTTTCATGAGAATTCCTAAAAAAAACCAATGTGAATTACATTATGCTTCACCTGATATGGCTGTTCTAATGATGTCATATTATACCAGCTATCATATAAAACTTATAAGTGACACATATATGTTTTAGAAAAGTATTTGTAGAAACTGCCTAAAGAGAAGTTTTGATGTAGAAGATACTTAGAAGGGTTATATATCCTATCTAACCAAGGGTAGCTCCAGGCTTTGTGGGACCCTGAAATGTGTATAATTGGGGGAGTACTCTCTTTCCAAAAAGGAATAAAAAATTATGGATACAAAATGAGGGACAGGGCCTTCGGAAGAGGTCTGTGAAAATGAAGGACTCTGAAGCTTAAGCTTCATTAGCTTCATATAATCATTTTTTTTGTTTGACCACTTAGAGCATTAAACAAGCCCCAAGCCGAAACCGACCAAAAACATGCTAAAATGTAAACGACTGACATGAGCCAGGAACTTCACATAATATGACATTTCACCTGTTTATTTACCATTCTAATTTTTATAAAAGTGGAAACTGAGACTCAGAGAATTTAGTAACTTGCTCATAGTCAGCTCACGGCTCTCATTGAAGCTGAGATTCAAACCAAGACAAACTAAATCTTATGTTATTTCCACTACAATACTCTGCCTTTAAGATTTCCCAAAAGACAAAGGGTTTAAGTTGCTTTGGAGAATGCCCCTAGAAAATACCTGGAAATGCTCTGTGAATACTTGAAACTGATGTGACAATTCACATTTGAGAATCTCACTAAAAATACTGCCCTAAAACTGTGTTTAAAAGGCATGAAGAGGGGCCAGCCCGGTTGCCGAGTGGTTAAGTTTGCACACTATGCTTCAGCGGCCAAGGGTTTCACTGGTTTGGATCCTGGGCGCGGACACGGCATCACTTGTCAGGCCATGATGAGGCTGCATCCCACATGCCACAACTAGAAGGACTCACAACTAATAATATACAACTATGTACTGGGAGGGGTTGGGGAGAAAAAGCAGAAAGAAAAAAAAGAAAAAGAAGATTGGCAACAGTTGTTAGCTCAGGTGCCAATCTTTAAGAAAAAATAAAAGGCATGAAGAAACAAATGCGTAACTCTTGGGTTATCTTCTGCTCACTAAATGACACAGATGAAGACAGGAGCTCTTAGAGTCTAGGAGAAATGTGGTTCTAATTAGGAGAGGAAAATTGAGGCAGAATCAGAATCTGGAGGTAAGTCAAGAATTACAGACTCTCAGGAAAGGGCATGGCTGTGGAAAGACATTGACAGCATGAATGTTTCACAAAGTATATCCTCTCACTACATGTCCTATGTGATTCTACCTTGCCCTTGTGATATATCAAGTTTTAAAGATAGGAAAATAATGACAGTTGGCTCATATATTATTCAATATTATATCTATATCTTGTATTTACCAGTTTAGCCTCTATTTTTTAAAATGTCCCGTAGAGGTATCCCCTCCTTATCCTAAGATCCCTAGAAAGTAGATGTTTTATCTTTATCTTTTCCTCACTCACAGAATCCAGCACTGTGCTCTACAGATAGTAGGCATTCCTTAGAGGTTAATTGCCATGGAAGATGGTGTTGATGTGTTATTTTTGACCGGCCACCATTTTCTAACACAACAGAAATTCCATAATACAGATGTGTTGTGATTCTATCATATTCAATCAAAGACTTCAGAATAAAATTTTTGGCAATGGCTAGAGCTAAGGCAAGAACTGATCAGATGTAGTTCATTGTACTTTCAGTCAACAAGCTCTCATTGATCTTGGAGTTACTTTAAAGACCTGCTGATTCTGTGGTCTTAGGGTCATTGTGACCTCAAGCTGTAGCTAAAATCAGTCCAGTCCAACAGGAATTTCAAGAGCAGCAGCACAAAAAAAGATGACTTAACTGAAAGGAACAAGAAGGTACACATTTTCCAGAAGACCTCTTTATTCTTAGAGTAGAAATTTCCCTTCAAGATGACAAGCAGTTCAAACTCTCCAGGATCTTACTTGTCCTCAAAAACAAGGTGAGTCTTTGACAGAAGATGCCAAGTGGTAACTACCCAGGAGGGAAGAGAGGGTCTCTGCCATTAACCCAGGCTAAAGGCAGATATTGTGGCGTGTCTTCCCACAGAAGTTCTAAAATAGATGACAACTACTTGAAGGAACTGAACGAGGACTTAAAGCTGAGGAAGCAAGAACTACTAGAGATGCTTAAACCTCAAGAAGATAAGAACAACCTCTTATTCCAGAAGTTAATGTCTAACTTGGAGGAAAAACAAAGAAGGTAGGGGCTCCCTGCTCAGGATTTCCTAGAGGAAGAAAGGTTGGAGGACTTTAATCCATAGGATTAGCAATGAAAATTTACATTTTTTAAAAAAAGTTTAGACATTCACCCATCGTAGGTAAAGAATTTGTAACCACAAAATCAGAGTGGCAAGGAGCCCTTTATTTTCTTTTAGTAAAATTAAATATGACTCAACCCTCATCTCACAGGGCTACAGTTCTTCTTCTTCTTCCCTAGGGTGTCCACCCAAGAAACAGATAAAAGCCTTTAGTATTTTTCAGTCTATCTTGGTCTCACTGACAGCTCTTTAATCATGTTTGTGGAATCACTTTAGGATAGATGACTGCTCTTCCCATGCCAAGCAGTGGAATGGCAATCTTTTCTGAGCCTAGGAATCCTCTGGACTGGGGTCTGACCTCTCTAAATATACTACCCCATTGAGGTCTTAACTCTTCAGTAGGGAACTCACTGTTCTTGGGACCCACCAACTCTCTGTTTTCTTTCTAGTCTAGGAAAATCTCACCTTAAGTGGTCTACCTTCATTTTCTACCCTTACCATAAGCATCTCAGGGAGCTCAGACTTTTGGAGAACAAAAGTCAAACAGAAAGTTGTGGTCAAGCATCAACTGCTTACAAACCAGAAACTCAGACTTTTCTCAGGGCAAGAGAACACAAAAGCTTGCTTCTCTCCTTATAATGGAGGAGGGAAAACTACAATTAACATAAACATAAATTAACTAATGCCTTTAAAGGATATCCTCTCTAACAGTCAAAGACTTGCTATTGATTCAGATTTTTTTAGAAACTTCTTGATGGCTTGGATTCTCTGGGGGCTACTGTAAGACTGTAAGTGGTTTCCCCAACTGCCTCAAATGTCTTTATAAGGAGAAGCAAAGCGAGGGAGATGGACAGGGATGGGGTAGGGAATCATTCTGGGATTTATCTTGAAGACAATAGGTTCTTCGACCTCCTTCTTCACAGGGGCAAAAGTGCCCCTTTTACCCCAGAAGTCATACACCAAAACATTCTTCTGAAGGAATGGAGAGGAATCTCATTGGCTGTTGGATATCAAAGTTTTGAGCATTAAAAAGCACAGAATTCATTACAGAACACAGTATTCATTACAGAGCGCACAGATAAGGCAAATGTCAATTAGGAATGGAATTGTCCTATAGAGACCATCTATAGCCAGAAGGACTCCCATAACTCTTGTGATTTCAGCCCCCATTTCACTCCTGTGGTAGAGTACTTTCTGACTGGTTGCAGAATATTAATATTCCTCTTTATGAAGTGTTATGTTTTATGATGTCTCTCTCTTCCTCCTAGTCTGCACATCATGAGGCAGATCATGTCAGGGAAGAGCGCTGAGGAATCCTCAGTCATGGAGCTCATTAAAGAAGCAGAAGAGATGAAGCAGAATCTGGTAAGACATTGGTGGGCACTCCAGGGCATGGCGTCCTGAACAGGGCTCAATTCCATTCCTGTCGCTGGATGTTTAATCTGACAAGGAAAGACAGAGTGCTCATCTCTGGCATCTGATGCTTCAACTCTCACATCTCCGTGATCTAGAAAGTCCAGAGTGATCCGAAGGGAGTCAGATGAAACACTGGGGAGAACAAGGACCAGCTAGCAAAGGTTCTTTTTCTTTGACTTTTTAAAAAAATTTTCATCTGGGGGTTAATGAACACAAGCATATTAACTCTTCACATTTCAGAAGGAATAGAAAATACCTACCAAAGTAAAAGAAAAGAAGTAGTTTTCTCTGAGAGATTCATGTAAGATTTTTAAAACTTAACAGTGTATAAGACCTTAAAAACTAGAAATTAGTGATCTAAGCCACAGATAAATTGCCATAAGATTAGACTATCAAGTGTTGTAAGTGTAAGGAACTCATTTCTATTGATATGTATACCACAACTACCATAATTAAAGTTATTCAAAATTATTTTTTTTGTATTATCGTCATCATCAAACTCATGACTCATGTTCCTGGATTTGGGGTTAGGCCCATTCATTGCCTTGCTCTCTGGTTTACTATGTCCCTGAACTCCTCTCCTCCCTTTACTCACTAATTTCTTCCAACTTCACTTTAATGACTGGACAAACACATGTTTCTGTTTGTTTGGTTTTCTCCTCCTCCAACAGGAAAGGAAAAACAAGATGCTTCGGAAGGAAATGGAGATGCTATGGAACAAGGTGTGCCTCTAAGGATCTCTTGAAAGTATTGTCTCACAGACCATAATGCAAAGAACTTCCCTTTCCTCTGGTCCCCAACCTCATTTTCTCATGTCTCTGCTCCCACCTATGCCTCATGCCAATCCATTCTTTGCATGGCAGCCAGAGCGACCTTTCTTAAACAATCAAATCATGTCACGCTTCTTATGAAAACCCTTTACTCTTTATTGTGGCATAATCTGGCTCTTGCCTACCTCCTAGTCCTCTCATAGAAGTCCTCCTCTCCCACACTGGCTTCCTTGAGCTGGTTTCTCAAACATACCAAAACCTTTCCTATTTCAAGGCTTTTGCTCTTGCTTTCCCCCCAGGCCTATAATGCTATTTTCTTATCTCATCCTTCAGGTCTCTGCTTAAATGTCACCTCCTCAGGCAACCCTCCTTGTTCACTCCATCCAAAATAGGACACCGCCCTCCCCCTTTCTGTTATACAACTCTGTTCATGTCCTCCATAGTACTTTTTATAAGTTTATTATTATTTTTATTCTGTTATAAGCATTATTTAACTCATTCCTTGTCTCCCTGCCCCTCTCTGGAATGTAAGCTCCTCCAGTATCTTGTTTGCTTTCTGCATCTCTGAATCCCTAGCACTAGCACAATGCTTGGAACATAGTAGACAATCAATAAATGTAAGGTGAAGGAACACCTAATTATAATTCTGATTTTGCAATAATCATGGCATTGTTTAAGATAACAATAGTAGGGACTTTTGCTGGAAAACCAGGCAGGGATGGAAATTCCCTTGTGGTCTAAGGCCTTGGGATCCAAGTGCTTTTTCACAAACTGCGAGACTGGAAGAGCAGGTTGTGTCTTGTGATATAAACAGGTGTATGGTGTGATATCTGACTGTTTTTTTCATCTCACCTTTCCGCACATAAGCAAGATACCATCGAGCCCTGCATCTTGTACTGAGATCTGCTTCTAGTTCTCAGTGGCAGCTACAAATCAGTTCTATGAATTGCCAGAAGTTATAGTTCCTGAGTTCTTGAGTCCTCATGATAGGAAATGTGCCAGCAAAATTCCTCTATCAAAATCCAGTTTCTCCAGAGCTCCCATAAGACTTTTTATAAGGGATGTCCATACACCTTAGCTTGCGATTGACTTTTCCCACCTGTATTTTTAGACAGGAAGAAATGGAGAGAGAAGAGCAGAATGCTGAGTGGTTAAGAACAGGCTTCAAAGCCCAAGAGATCTGGTCCAAATTCCAGCTCTGCTTTCCTAGCTGTGTGACCCTAAACAAACGACTTAGCCTCTTCAAGTCCCAGTTTTCTCATCTATAAAATGGAAATAAAAATAGTCATGTGAGGATTAAGTGAAAATGTTTGTAACGTAGTAGAGTAGTATAAATAGAGTAATGTAGTAAGTAGCTCACAGTAGTAACTGGCATATTGTAAGGATTCAGTTAATAGTTTTATTATGATAAGTACACTCAAGGGATCAAACGGAATGGCTCGTTTTATTCTGAACCCCTTTGGTAGGATGCTGTTCACGTAAGGCCCTGAGAACTTGCTGACTGGTGGGAACCAAAAGCCTTAACCCATATTGGTTTTCCCCCTCCCTCACTAATTCCCACCAATTTAAAGCTTTGCCAAAATGTCTTTCTACAGACATTCGACACAGGAGAACTTGGTGATCAACAAAAAGCACCACAGATAAAAAACAAGGCAGACTTGCAGGATGGAAAGGCAAGTGGACTGCATGGCACTTAGAATTTCAGGGTTGTTGGTGCCACACAGCTGGAAACAGCCTGTTGATAATCAGGGCTAACATGGGTAGGCAGATAGGTAGGATCTACCTGGGCCTGTAGGGTACATCAGATTTACTGTCTGCTGAGACATTGCACTTCTTTCCTGGGACCTCCTATTTCTTTGGCTCTCTTCTTTCATCCCAGGCTCCCAAAACCCTCTCATCACCTAGGAAGACCAAGAATGAACTGGAGACATCATGCAGGGAAAGTGAAAGAGACAAGGAAGGTGGTACAATCTCTCTGAATGGGAGTGGGTTTAGAGCTGATAGATTAGAAATCTTTAAGGTAGCAGCAATCTGCCTAAACTATGGTGTGCTCCCGAACTGATGCAAAATTTTATAGGAGATCTGGTTCCCTTGGAATATTATATTTGAGTCAGAGTGACACTGCAAGTTTCTGGGAAATCATATTAGCTAGGACAAAGTGGGAAAAGCTGTACCAACCATGACAGCTCTGCAATAGCTATGTGATGTCAAAACACTTGTTAATTTGTTTTTGAACCTTTATTTAGCGGTATTAAGCTTGTATCTAATCTTCCCATAACTAACTCATTCACAGAAAATGATCTTATTCATTTAACTTTTAGCTTTTGGAAAGTGGTTTGTACAGGTGAGGCCAATTTAGAGGATTGTGCAGTTGAAACCAATTTATAAGTGAATCTATGACACCAGATTTTTGTAATAAAGTCTTTGCAGCATATGGAGAAAACTGATTTCTGATCTCAATTTACTTTGTCACCTAGTGGCTCTTTATTCCACCAGGAGAAGCAACAGAGGAAAATGCCATGGGGCAGGTATCAGGAACAAGCCAACATCCTTCAGGTACTAACATCTTCCAAGGCTGGACATGGGGTACCATTTCACTCATACAATATAAAGCCTTGTAGTTTCACAATGTTAAGCCTGATTCCCTCATCTGGATTACCAACTGTCCTGCTAAAAGAAATGTTTCATGGGAAGATGGCTGGAGAAAGTTCAGCTTCACCTTGAGTAACTTGGGATAAATAGCATATTTTCCTACAGTCATGATTTTGTTCTATTTGAAATGGAAAAAAAAATCACATATACTGTCTGCCCAACTTTTAAAGGCTAAGCATGATGGGATCATTTTTTAACTTCTGAGTTAAAAGGATCTGGGTAACAGTGGATCTAGACAAGCCAACACTATGTGAGTAGTTTTGAAAAATGTTCTCTTGTAGAATGACTTTTATAGCAAAATGTTTGAGCTGAGAATGGAAGCTTTGAAGAACTACCAGAAGGCAGATGACCTGAAATTATCACTGTACTTACAGCAGAATTCTGAGACAAAGCAAGCATTTTTTAATCCTCCTGGATCCCAAGGTAGGTAGAGTATCATAGGTAAACAGTTTGAGGTTCCTTTTGTTTTATTTCACATGGGAGATCCCATTATTTATAAAGTGATCAACACAATGCCTGGCACACAGCAAGCTGAATGTTAGTAGTGTTATAATAAATTTTATCATCATCATCATTATTATTATTATTCAGAAGCTCTTATACCAAGGTTAGGATTCCTCTGGAGGAAATGAAATTTTCCTTTGTAAAGGCTAAGTAATACATTATGTACTTAGCATATGTAATTAATAAATAGTTGGCACTTGATAAAATATTAGTTTCTTCCTCACCTCTTCCCCTTTCCTAGGAATTAGAGTAGTTTGGTCCCATGAATTTTCTTGGAATAGAATTCTGCTACTTCAGAACAGCAGGCCAAGGAGATAGACATCTGACAATGGTCACAAGTTTCATCAATCCAGATATTCTTCTGGGAGTTTCAGCATTTCCCTCCAAAGAATTTATGGCATCGCTAGAGGAAATGAATGTAGCCACAGGCACAAGTGACCCAGTGTTCCTGTGTTTTACTGATTGCACATTCATTGAGCACTGATTATAGGCCAGTTTCATTTTCTAACAACACATATACAAAAATCTTTGGGTTTGTTTGTGCCCAAGTGGATCTGAAATCTGAGTCCTAGATTTTGATTACGTTGACCTGTTTATAACCTAGTGTTTGATTATTGAAAAGAAAACAAAAGAAATATTGGTTCTCTTCATGGAGAGGTTTTTAAAGTAATTATGTTAAAATATTGTTACCAACAGTGTTATGATAGGGAGGTGGTTTTGTGGTTCTCAGTGTTTCCCAACTTCTGTGTCACAGGGACTATTGTTTATTTGATATTTTCTGTTTAGACTGACTTCTTTAATTTCTTAAATGCATTCCTTGAAAATAAAATTTATATTACTGTTTTAAATGAAAAATCAATATAGTTTTCCCCAATAATAATATACAGAAAACAAAATCTCAATGTTTTGACAAGATGCTGAAGCCTGAGACCTGTTTTATCTTTATTAGGAAATGAGATTAGCAAGATAGAGTTTTAAAGAAAACCAGCATCAAAATGAAACTTTCTCCTTGATGCCATCAAGTTTGAAAGAATTGAAAAGGAAATAATTTTCTCATTGTGATTTATAGTATTTAATGCTGTGTTCCAGCACCTCCTAAATTTATCTCAGCTGCCACCTAAAATAATCTCACCATCACATTTTGGGAAATAGTATTTTAATTGAAAAGGCACTGGATTTAGAGTGAGGTACATGAGTTGCAGGACTTACTCATGATCTGGGAAAGTCATTTAATTTCAGCTTTTTTCTTTATCTAAAACAGCCACAACACATCATAGAGCATATTGAAAACATTTGGTTTTGTGTAACCTCACAATGACTCTATGGGGTAGGTATTATAGAACAAGAAACAAGTTCAGAGAAGCCAGGCTTCTGACTCCATATCCAAAGATGATACCCATATCATCTCCTAGGATATGCTATAAAATGACAGTGTTAAAGTAGTGATTTCTCATCTCTTCCACCTCTAAAGGCTATGATTTGAATCCAAACATCACTGTTTAATGTATAATCCTTCCAATGAAGAATCATACTCCCTAAGGTCAATCTATTCAGTAATAAAAGAGTTCAAAACGGTTGACAGGTTGGTAATTCTGCATTTAGCCCACTGGGTGGCACCAATCACATCTAGGCTTCTAGACCACAAATAGTGGTAATTCAGGAAATGTGAAATGCTGTGGGAAGAGATTAGCCTTCTATTACCCTTAGGATAAAAATGTGCTGCATTTAGATATCAAATGAAGACAGAAAGAAACTATTGATGTTTTCTGTCATGCTCCTCGGCACCGAGGTGTGTTACTGGCAGCCTTTGTTAGACCATATGAAATTCCGTATTCTGCAGCACACTCCTCACCCATTATTCCACTCTGTGAACTACTGTTCCCTCGATTCCAAAAACAGCCACTGCCTGCTTCCTCCACAATCCCTATCTAATACTATTTCTTTCTACCACAGATAAATGAAGTGATTGGAACACTGAATTAAACAATTGGTTGGCCAATTGCACAAGCTGGGATTTTTTAAAGTTTAGGCACTTAATAGTGTTCCTGGCTAGTGTTCCTTTTCTTCTAGTTTCAAAAAACTTGAATTTCACAAACCTGTCTGAAAAAAAGGGTGGAATGTCATTTTGGACACACCTTAGGGTACAGGCCCTTTTGTTCTAGGCATTTCCAAGTAGAGGGAGGGTTTCTCCTATGGCTTTTGGCCAAGAACCCCTCCTTCCACATCAACTGCCCCGTGTGCTGGTTGGCTGCGTTGCAGTGGTGTGATCTACACAGTTGGCAAAATACAACCCAGTGTTAATATTTCTGACTTTGTTACGCTTCAAGCAATCCCTGCTTGCAAATTCCCTTGAGGTCCAGATTGTAGGATTACCGTTGTTATCAGTCTTAGCTGTTTAGCATACTGCATCACCTAGTCTTATAGAAGAGGAAAACATTTTATAACTACAGTGAAGTCTTTCCTTTTGGTGTTTCCAGAGACAGGTCACATCTGAAGGGATTTACTTTCCCACCGGTGTAAAATTACAATTTGACCCACAGGGGTGGCAGCCCCTCCCTGGCTTCTGTAGAGTCAAGAGAGCAGTTGGTGGCCTTTGGCAGTCATCTATCTTAGAGAGCACCGGCACCAAGCAATCTTCAGATTCAGCTGACTTTCCCATCACACCTGCTGGTGTTTAAAGAGGAGGTTTACCTTCAGTGATAATAAGATATTTGATTCTGATGGCCTTCTTTTCTCTCCTCCTCATCCCACCTCCCAAAACCTTGCCTTTTTTTTTTTTTTTAAACAACAACAACTTTTTTTTTTTTTTTTTAAAGATTTTATTTTTTCCTTTTTCTCCCCAAAGCCCCCCGGTACATAGTTGTGTATTCTTCGTTGTGGGTTCCTCTAGTTGTGGCATGTGGGACGCTGCCTCAGCATGGTCTGACGAGCAGTGCCATGTCCGCGCCCAGGATTCGAACCGACGAAACACTGGGCCGCCTGCAGCGGAGCGCGCGAACTTAACCACTCGGCCACGGGGCCAGCCCCAACCTTTGCATTTTTTTTTTTTTTTTCAGCTCTTTTGAGAAGAAGCTGAAGGTTAGATGTGAATATTTTGCTACACTTATAAATTCAGATGAAAGGCCAGTGAGGTGGGAAATGAATACTCTTGAGACCTTATTTATTCTATAGCTCACTCTGTTCTGAAAGCAAGTCATTCTTCCCGCTTGTAACCTTTACTTCATTTCAGTATTACTCTTCCTGATGGCTGAAATACACACCAGCAGGTGCTGCCAAAAGGAAAATAGTAGTGTTAAGCTAAACTGCTGAAAGGCAGGGGTGGAAACCCACAGCTAGCTCAAATCTAGGTCTTGGATAAATAGTATTACTCTCAAATACAGGCTTTTTTCCAGCTTTGAGGCAACTCGAACCTTTTGAAAGTCAAGGTTAGGTTTATGGTATTAGTAGGTTATGAAGTTAATTTCTAAACTAGGTCATTCTTTCACTTCCTATAAAATGCCACATAAGTCCAGTAGAAGCATAAAAATTCTCTTTCTTAAATACAACTTTTTTTTGAGGAAGATTAGCCCTGAGCTAACATCTGCTGCCAATCCTCCTCTTTTTGTTGAGGAAGACTGGCCCTGAGCTAATATCTGTGCCTATCTTCCTCTACTTTATATGTGGGACGCCTACCACAGCATGGCTTGACAAGCAGTGCATAGGTCTGCACCTGGGATCTGAAGTGGCGAACCCCAGGCCACTGAAACAGAACGTGCGAACACTACCACTGCGCCACCAGGCCTGCCCCCTTAAATATAAATTTTGAAGGTTAAAAAAAAAACTATACCTTTATTAATAGTATGATTATTTCAATGAGTGATAATAGATTCCAAACTGTTTTGCATCACACACTCAGGAGAGCAGCAGGATGTCTAGGATAGGGTTCTCATACTTAGAAAATAGAGGATGCCCAGTTAAATTTGAATTGTAGATAAATGATAACTTTTTAGTATAAATATTGCATGGGACATACTTATACTAAAATTTATTTGGTGTTTATTAAAATCCAGATTTAACTGGATGTCCTATATTCTTGTCTGGCAACCCTAACCTAGGACAGACTCACTACAGAGCCTATTTGGCACCCTACAATTCTCCCTTTTCCCCTTTTCATTGCCTCCCTACCCCCCTCTATCTCAGCCTGTCATTCTCTCTGCTTCCTCTTTCTCATCCCTGTCCCCGCCTTTATCGTTTGTTTGTTCTCCACTATCCACAGTAGGCCATTTTTGTGGCATATGTGTCTGGGTTATGTGAGGGTGTGTATACATCTTCATGATTTATCATCCCATTTCTTCACTTAAAAGTTGTATTAGAAGTACATTCTGTAGTCTCTCAAATAAAATTGTTTTTACTTGCATGTAATCCTCAAATGATTTTTTTCCTGTGGGACATGAGCTCTCAACAGAAAAAAGGTTTACTACTCCAACTTCAAAAATATTGTTGGGTTAGGGGCCGGCCCAGTGGTGTAGTCGTTAAGTTCTCACGTTCCGCTTTGGCGGCCCGGGGTTCACCGGTTCAAACCCTGGGTGTGGACATGGCACCGCTTGGCAAGCCATGCTGCGGCAGGCATCCCACATATAAAGTAGAGGAAGATGGGCATGGATGTTAGCTCAGGGCTAATCTCCCTCAAAAAAAATATATACATATATATATTGTTGGGTCAAGTTATTTTTTAAAACAATAATTAGAAAATCTACATCCATGCTAACACCAGAGTCAGTCCTATAGTGACACAATGACACGATACTGTGATGAATGTTAATAGCCTTGCAACTCACAATAAAACTAGTTTTTCTCTCAAAGGAAGCTCTCATTTTCCTAATGTTTGCCACCAGGTACTATGGGCGCCACAACCATGGGCAGAACAACTAAGGCAAAAATGAATCTAATGGGGTAAGAACTATTTTCTTTTCAAAATCATTTTAAAGACTTGACTACACAGCGGGTGTAGATTTTTGGAATGCAATTGTTAACATACATTCTGATTTAATATTTTTAGGGGATTTGCGAAGACACTTTGATGTTTTAGCTGTCTTTTTCTTCTGTTTTTCTCCCGTCTTAGCGAATTCTGGGATCAAAGACCTACACAGAACAACAAGGAGCTAAAGAAAGTCAGTTTGATGGTCCAAGAGGGAGGCTCCTTTTTCTGAGGTCACTGCAGGATGAAGCTCCGAAGGAATAGAAAGCTTTCACTCCATTTGCTTTGGACAGATTTAAAGACGAGGTACAGCCAATGGTGTTAATTAAAATCTCTCAAACCTTTGTTTCAGTGTTGTTTCCCCTCTCTCTCTCTCTCCACCAAACTGGGTGGAAATGCTAGTTAGATGCTTGGCCTTAAGCATGTCAGGAATTTCGTTATTTAGGGATTGTAAACAGCTTCTGATTATTTTGGTAGCTTTTCATATGCATTTGAAATGATATGATATTATATGATATACAGTGGTATGATATGATAGCTTTTTAGAGCATTTTGAAATGACTAGATTCAAACCACATTGTATGTTCTTAATAAGTCCATAAAAAGTTGCTCCTCTCCACCTCTGAAATGTCTAATTCTGGGCAGATCCGCCACAGGCAAAAGAGCAAAAATAGGTACAAAATAAGGAAAATTATACTCCATAGATTCTCCTTACTCTCTCACCAACCACATCCTACTGCCCTGTTGATTCTGCCTCCTAGTCACCTATTCCTCGAATATCTTCTACCTTCCTTGTACCACTGTGTTAGTTCAGGCGCTCCTTGCTGCCTGGATTACCACAGCCTCTTAATTGGTTTCCCAGCTTCCAGTCCCTCTAATCCATCTTCCACGGCACCGGCACCGCTGAAACTCTCTCTTCTAAAACAGAAGTGAGGTCATGTCACTTCCCTACAGGTTTCCCGACTTTAGTATAAAGTCCAAATTCCTTCACAGATCAAGTAATGATCTGCCTCCTACCTATGTTCCCAGTCTCATCTCTCACTCTGTCCCCCTTCCCTCATACATCCTACATTGAGCTTGTAGGGGAGGAAGACATTCCCTCTACCCACTCTAGGTCCTTCTGGTCGGATTACAAATTAAACTGACATGAGACAGAATAACAGGAGAAAATTAAACAAAGCTTTATAACGTGTATACATGGGAGAGGCCCAGAAAAACTGAGTAACTCACCAAAATGGTGGAAGCTCTCCTCAGCTAAAGGCAAAGGAGGATGTTGGGTATAGGGGGAGTCAGTTATGAGAGATTACCAGAAAATCACAGTAAACAAGATTGAGGTTATTATGCAGATTTAAGTCCTTGCCTTCTGCATTGACAACAGTTTCTAAATATAAGGTCATCCCCGCCTTCTTCCTGGTACAGAGAGGGTGACACCTTTACAGATGGAGATTTCTTCTACAAATGTAAATGTCTCTTACAAAGGGTAACTTCTGCTTTTCAGAGTTTCTCTCATGTCTGCAGTTTTTAAAAGTAACCAGGCCAAAATAATCCTCATGCCAAAGAGATATATCTTGGGGTGGCCAATTCTAATCTCCCACAAGCTCTACAGAACTCTTTGCAGTTCCCTTGATGCACTGTGAGTTCTATTATCTCCAGGCCTTTGCACAAAGCTGCTCCTCTGCCTCAAAGATTTTCTCTCCTTATCTGCTTGACCACTGCCCTTTTGTCCTAAAGGCTGAGTCTGGTGCCCTTCTCTCCCAGGATTTCTCAATCCTGGTTGTGTATTAGGATCTCCTTGGGAGCTTTTAAAAATACCAAGTCACTGGGCCCCTCTCCAGAGCATTTAAATCATTATCTCTGAAGGATAGGGCAAGAGCATCTGTGTTTTTTAAAAACTCTCAGGGAAATTCTTTGTTGTAGCCAGGTTTGAAAATCACTATTCTAGGCTCTTTTACCTCTGTAATAGTGCTTAATGAACTATATTGCAATTATTTGTTTACCTAGCTATCTCTGTCCACAAATGGTGAGCTTTTGAGGCCCAGGACTATGTCTTGTTCATTTTTTCTTTTTTTTTTTTTTGAGGAAGATTAGCCCTGAGCTAACATCTGCCACCGATCCTCCTCTTTTTTTGCTGAGGAAGATTGACCCTGAGCTAACATCCATGCCCATCTTCCTCTACTTTATATGTGGGAGGCCTCCTCAGCATGGCTTTATATGTGGTGCATAGGTCTGCATCCAGGATCTAAACCAGTGAACCCCCAGGCTGCCGAAGCAGATTGTGCAAACTTAACCGCTGTGCCACCAGGCTGGCCCCTCATTTTTCATTTTGACCACTAACACAGTCCCTGGGATTTGACAGAAGCTCAGATATTGCATAAGGTCACAGAAAGTTCATTGCAAAGTCCCTTGCAAGGTCTCTTGAACCCTGTCTTGTGTCAATATGATACCACTGGATTATTTTGTAGTCCCCGAGATCTTCAGATATTTTCTTTACTCTGATTAAGCTCTCATTAATATCCTATCTCATGACAATATGAAGAAAGCTGATTTGTTACGAAATGCTTTGAAATCTCTAGGAATCCTTTGTACAGTCTGGTAATGAGCAAAGTAAACCAACCAATTAAAAGTATTCTTTCTTGAAAAGTCAATCTAAATCTTTAAAGGTGCATTTAAAGGTGGATTTTTTTTTTAAAGATTGGCACCTGAGCTAACAACTGTTGCCAATCTTCCTTTTTTTCTTCTCCCCAAAGCACCCCAGCACACAGTTGTATACTCCAGTTGTGAGTGCCTCTGGTTGTGCTATGTGGGACGCTGCCCCAGCATGGCCAGACCAGCAGTGCCATGTCTGCACCCAAGATCCAAACTAGCAAAACCCGGGGCCGCCGAAGTGGAGTGTGTGAATCCAACCACTCGGCCACAGGGCCGGCCCCAAAAGGTGGATTTTTTAAATGTACTTTTGGACTGGAAAAAGTTTACATGAAATCATAGAATTTGGGCATTAGAAGGGACTTTAAGTAAGTACAAAGTTCCTTCACTTTACAAAAGAGGAAACTAGAGTTCAGATATTTTGAAGGGGTATCCAAAGTCCAATGGATAATTAGGGCTGTTGACAGTTAAACTGGTTAACAGAGCCCAGGTATTATTACTGCCAGTTCATCGTCCAATCCAACTCATATCTTTCCTCTTTGACCACAAAAAATAACAGGTTCTGCACCCCTGAGATAATTAGTTTCATGTTCTACCAACTGAGTTAGTGGAGTGTGTAATCCACATTCTGTTTAAGAAAGTCACCTCTGTACTTATTTAGTCCCTCTATGCTTTAGCAGTCCTGAGAGATTTTCCAAGTCAACTGGATTAGACAGAGCAATGAGAGCAAAAGTCGGGAATATAAGATCTGACTGTACCACTGATTACCTTGAACAAGTCATTTAGTCTCAAATCATTTAATCTAAGGGCCTAGATTCCCAATTTTAAAATTGGATTAAAAGAGCACCATTTGAATGTTTCAAAATCATGGTTTTTGGGTTTTTTTCTTACTGCTTTAATGAGTTTAGATGAGTATCTGACCTTCTTCCCTTATTTTTTTCATTAACTAAAACATGAAATACATTAGTTTACTTGCTAAGAGATTTATAATTTCTTAAGAAATGAGTCATTTGCCATCTGCAAAGTATTGAAATTGAATGTTTGTTATCCGTCAGGCTTATCACCTTTCCCTCAAATGTTCCAAACTTTCAATTTCTTCGAAATACAAAATTGAAATATCATAGCGTTTTATTCTACTTTGTCTTTAAGACTTCACATTGGACTCTGACTTTCACCTATATGGCAGTGCAAAGTTATCAGGTTGGCTGGCTGTTCATAGGTGTCTACATTTCAATAAATCCAGGATATGGATCTCAACTTTGTGTGTACAAATTTATTTGGTCAACTTACCCAACAGATCAGGGACTCATTCAAGCTATTCTAACTCCCAAGAATATCACTGATAAATCAAATACTAATTTAAATTACAGAGAGGGCTATACCTTCCAATGTGGTTGGAATATGTCTATATTTAGGGCATTCCCATCTCAGAATCAAATTATTAAGGAAACTGAACTAGTAATCAGAAAGTATTGGTGGAATTGCAACATCCTTATTATAGTTTTATTTATTTGCATAGTATTCCAGTTATGTTTCTCTGAGAATAAAACCCCTGAAATCTTTGACTGTACTTGGGAGATACTTTTCAAGTGAGGAAAAACTGTCCCATCAGCAGTACATCTACAAATTTTAATGTTGGGTAGTACTACTTTTGTGGCTTGTCTCATTTATTTTACCTTGACTTTCTAGCTATTCAGGGAATATTTGCTAACATTTCTCCCCCAGAAGTTGCCTTTTGCATTGACCCCAAAGTGATTAATAATGTTTGTCACACTTTCCTAAATAAAATAAGGTCAACAACAGCCTAATACTTTCATCTTTAGTCTAGAATTGCAATCATCACAGAGGGCAAGTGACAGTATGCAACATTTTGCCTTACGCTTTTAGATCCAGGCAGAAAATCCAGCTTTAGTATTCTTTATGTGAACCATGGCCACCTTAGGTGGTGTCTCCTTTTACAAGAGAGGCTTCTGCAGTCTGTAACATGCCAAGGTAAATATCTAATAACCCCTCTGGCACCTTTGGAGACGCCTGCATTGCTAGCAATTCAAAGTCCCTATTGCTTCATATGTTCTGTATTTAGTCCTCAAATATTAGGAAATGGGAAGAGAACAAGGTATTCTATTGGAAAGGGATGCTTGCTCTGCAACTAATCAATCCCACAGCAGGAGATACACAGGCGGATAAATATGAAATGTAATTATTACATGGTAAAATGAGATTTTTCAGGACAACTGAAAAACCCATCATTTCTGCTTCCTTCACAAATTCATTTATGATTCCTAACATTTCACACTTTTACTTAAGGTTCATTTCAAGCTGAAACACTGTACAAACATTCCTATAAAACATATTTCCTCCAATTCTGAGTCAACCTGAGAGAAAATGAGATTTTTTAGGCTAACAATTTTGTTTCTGTATATTATTTTTATTGAGACAAAAATATACATGGAAACCAATTAATAATAATAATAATTTAATAAAAGCATGATGCTTTTGATCTTTTAAAAAGTTCACTTAAACTCAATCCATGTCAGTTGTTAAACTTCAGACTATCCTTTCTTGACTTGTGTATTCTGAATCCTAAAATTGAAGGCCTTGTAGACAGAGCCCTTTTAAGAAATCGAATAGCTTCTGGGCATTTAATGTTACTTTTCCATTTAACAGATCTCGCTCTCCTTTCTCTTATCTAATAATTCTTTCCTCTTCCAGCAAACATTGTCCTCCTCCTTTATAGTCTACACTTTATTTGAATTAAGGAGGGAGAAAAACCAACACTTTCTTTAGAAATAAAACTTTTCTGTTCCTGGTTTCTTTATTAACATGTGGGTAGTATTAAAGGTATAAATCAGAGCCCTTAGAAAAGAATAAAATCTATAGTAATGGGGAGAGAGACAGGAGTCTGTAAGAAGAGTTGAACTAACTGCTAACCTATCAAGGCACTAGCCTTACATATGATACCCAGATCCATCCTTCCTAGATCTTAGTCCATTTGGTAGGGGTGTGGCTGATCACCATCCTCTGGACAAGTACATGACTGAGATCTAACCAATCAGAAAATGCCACTCCCGGGGCCTGCCCCATGGTCAAGTAGTTGAAGTTCCACATGCTCAGTTTCTGCAGCCTGGGTTCACAGGTTAGGATCCCAGCTGTGAACCTACTCTGCTCATCAGCCACATTGTGGAGGCATCCCACATACAAAAAATAAAGGAAGATTGGCAGAGATGTTAGCTCAGGGCTAATCTTCCTCAAGTGAAAAAAGGAGAGGATTGGCAATGAACGTCAGCTCAGGGCAAATCTTCCTCACAAAAAAAAAAAAGAAAGAAAGAAAAAGAAAATGCCACTCCCCTTTCCTTTGGGGATAGGTACATGACCTAAATCTATGGTTCTCAAGATAGTGGTCTCAGGACCTCTTTGCACCCTTGAAAATTATTGAGGACTCCAAAGAGCTTTTGTTTATATAGATTAAATCTATCTATATTTACTACATTAAAAATTTGTTTAATATAAAAATATACATATTCTATTAGCTATCAGCATGATGATATCATTACACATCATGTAGCCTCTGGAAAATTTCATTTTATCTAATGAGAAAATGAGAGTGGAAAGACAAATAATGCCTTAGTATTAGTATGGAAATATTTTTGACTTTGAAGAACCTCTGAAAGGGTCTTGGGGTCTCCAGGTTTTCCAAAACTGACTCGAAAACTACTCACCTAAATTATAGCCTAGAGAAGCCAATACCATCTTTGCTGCAATGTAGGAAGAGCCAATGTGAAAAGTCAACAAAGAAGAAAGCATAGCTGAAAGATGGCATCTTGATGACAGTTTCAGATCTTGAATCTAGCCATATCTTGAAGCTATACACATATCTAGACTTCCTAGCTGCATGAGCGAATGAATTCCTTTTGGCTCATACTAGGATCAGTCATTTGCGACCAAAAACGTTCTCATACATCTGAATTTCCAGCTGGGAACTCAGAGGAAGAGACTAAAGGTGGGAAAAATACAAGGGACCAGCGCACAAAATAATTATTCAAGCAGCAATCTGGGCAGCAGAAATGTAATATCAAAAGTGCAAGGAAAAGTTCGACTTTATTTTAATAAACCTGGCAGACATTGAAAAACATTGTCGTAGTTGTTCCCAAATGAGTTCCATCAAACTCCATGAGCAATTGAGGTAGTTCAACTTCACTTCACTAAAAGATAACAAGGGCATCAGAACTGAAAGCAAAACGTCAATTTCATTAGGTATGAAGAAATTTATCTCATCAGACTGGAAAACTCTAATTTAGAAAACTATTTCTGAGGGAAAAGAGTTTAGGCTACTTAGGTCAAATATTAAAAATTTACCCAGTATTCTCTATTCTATAGATCTGTATTTCTCTAAGAGTATGTCTAACTTCTAAATCCTAGCTTTAACCTTTGAACCTTCTTTTCTGATACGCTGAATTTCTAATTTATATGTTTTCATGGAAATACACAGTAATGTAATCTATCACTGCTGTACTGGATTGAATAGTGTCCCCTCAAATTTCACATCCATCCAGAACTTCAGGATATGACCTTATTTGTCAATAGAGTCTTTGTATATACGTAATTAGTTAAGATTGGGTCGTATTAGATTATGGTGAGCCCTAAATCGAATGACTGGTATCCTTATAAGAAGGCCAAGTGAAGATACACACAGGGAAAAAAGACATGTGAAGACAGAGACAAAGATTAGAGTGATGCAGCTACAAACCAAGAAAGGCCAGGGATTGCTGGCAGCCACCAGAAGCTAGAAAGAGGAAATGAAGAATTCTTCCCTAGAGCCTTCAGAGGGAGCACGGCTTTACCGACACCTTGATTTCAGACTTCTAACTTCCATAATCATGAGAAAACATTTCTGTTGTTTGAAGCCATCCAGTTTGTGGTATTTAGTTACAGCAGCCCTAGAAACTAATACACTCCCTAATTCAGCCAGTCTAAAATTCATCTTGACTAGAAGCTTCCTTTTAGGGAAAGAAACTTGGTTAAAATCAACCAGAGTTACACCTTGCACCCACTTTTTGTGTGTGTGCTTATATGCATAACAAAATTTACCACTTTAACCATTTTAAAGTGTACAATTCAGTGACATTAATTGTATTCAAAATGTTGCTGCACCCATTTTTAATCGACTCAGTTTTAGTTTTGGCCATTAGCCAATCAGGAGAGTCAAGAGTGGAATAAGTCTTAGAGGAGGAATAATCCATTACCAAACTCATTCTTGCTCATCTAGTGCTAATGGAGGAGTCTGACCCCAGAAGAGTCTACTAAACGTTTACCTTATTTACATTGAAGTTGTGGTTAACCACGGGAAAACTAAAGTACCAAGAGGGCTGTGTATATACACCACTACTGGAAAAAACTCAACTTTCATTCATTCAGTAATTCACTTCTACTGATAAAGTTTCATCTTCATAACAAAAATCATTATTTTATGTTAATTTTCAGTTAATATAAACTCCTTTAGTTTTCATTATTAAAACTTTTAAAAATGGAGAGAATAAATCCCTGGACACTTACAATTCTTTACATACAAACTTTCAACTTCTTTACTTCTGGTTCTTCCCCTCCCCCACATGTTTCCTGAGACATTTGTCAATATTTGGAAACGCTACTCTCTACCTTTCAGAAAATTTTCTTTAACATTTGATTTCAGGATGAATTTTGAAGAAATGTTACACTGTAACAAGAGTAAAAGAGCACATGCACACTCCAATAGTCATTCAATAACCAGCAGTAAAAGAAAAGAAGATCACACTAGATAGTAAGGTCCCTGGGTTCTTCCTCTGTAAATTTTGTTACACCTTGCTAAATTTGGCAGAGAGGAATTCACATGAGAAAAATTGTTGGAAGATAAGTATCTATTTTAATTGTCCTGCTTAGTTCCATTTGTATTACTTTTTTTTTTTTTTTTAGTAATTTTAGTAGTTCAGCAAACCTCCAACCTTAATTCATACTCACCCTTCCCAATTAAATTTTAATGAATTTCACCATTACTACTTTTATAGATGCAGATAGTCCCTCATCTTCTATTTATTTGTGAAACAAAACTGCCAGTTTCTTTCCATGAATACTTACAGAATAGGATTTTAAGTCGAAAGTGTGCTTATTTACTCTACTACTTAAGGAGTGCTTATTTAGTCTACTACTGTATTTAAAGGACAAAGAAAAAGGCCCAAACTTGTTTAAGATTACTGGACCTATTAGTGAGTAGTTTTAGAATTTCTCTAAAACTTCAAGATGTTTTCTAATCATTTCAAATCAGAGGGCGCTATAAATAAAGATAGGTTAGAAAGTTAACAGTGTAACCAACTAGGCTTTGGCCACCAGGCTCTAGGGTGATAGATTATTATAGGAGGTGGGTCCATGATCTGGCTTCAATTTTTAATCCACTGCCAAAAATACTAGCAATACACATACTCAAAAGAAATTTTACTAATTTATTTTACCCCACCTCAATCCACTAATCATCTCCTTTATACTCCCATTATTTAAAATACATAGCAACGTGAATCTTCAGAGGATAAGTCCATGTTCCAATTGGAACAACAAAAAACTTATAACCATCAAATCGACTGAGATTTTAGTTGTGTACCAATGTCGATTATACATTTTTTTGACACTTTTCTTTTCATTTTTATACTTCCCAGGTTTTAACATGGGTGAAAACAGAAGGAAAAAATATATACATTTACATCTATGTGTATACAGTTTTTATTCAGAAGTTGAAAGGGCTAGAAAGAAGGGAACTAAGAAATCGATGTGGAACAGCCACAGGTGATTAATAACATTTTATGAAAAACAAAATAAGTGGCAACAAAGCTATCTTTACGGTAATCTCCTATCCCACATCTACTGAAATGAAACTCAATTGCCGTGACCGTGGTTCAGGTGGGAGAAACACGTTCTTCTCATTCCTTAAGATCAGTATTTTTCATCTAAAAGCAGAGACCGTGGCGATGAAGCGTAAGGCCACAAAATCACGGGACAGCGGGAAAAAGAGAAATCATATTTCTCCACTCAAGACGCTGTGCCGCAGCCTCCCAGCTTCTCTTGTGAAGACGGTCAGGTAGGTACAGACTTGGAGAAGGGATCCCGAAGCACCGGAGGGGCGGAAACCCTCCGGCAGGGCGAGCCGACCGAGGAAACAATCGGGAAGACGAAGCCGGACAGGATGCCTCCTTCTTCGCCCACGGCGGCCTCGCTGTCACAGCACCCGCGCTGCTGCCACCCACACAGCTTTCTAAGCTACCTCCAGGTCCCATGGCACCTGCAGGGGGTCGGCCGGCCGCTCCTGAAAGCTGCGAGGAGAGGCTACGTACACTGAGCCCTCCTCTCGTCCCCTCGGAGAGCGGCTCGCCGGCCTCGAGAGCCGGCCCAAGGCGCCGACGACCGACGAGAAGCCCGGCTCGGCAGGGGATTGCTTCTGTCTGGGCCTGGCGGAGGCTGCGTTCGGGTCTCGCGCGCGCCCGTTCCCCGTTCTCTCGGCCAATCGGACGCTACTCGCGCGCCCAGCAGCGTTCTTCGGCCCTCCTCGGACTGGGCGGGCTCCTCGGCGCTGCCCGTACTCCGCAACCGAGCTCGCACTCCTCTCACTCTCCACGAGTTCCACGCCTCGCGGAGTGGCTCCGCCCCTTCCTGAGCCCGCCCCCGCAGCCGCCGGAACGTGTGCTCTCCTTTCCCCGCAGGCTCCTGCCGTCTAGCCGTCCTGGGTCCCCTGCTCCGCAGAGCAGCCGCGTCTCTCCAGCCTCCCTCAGCCGCCCCCGCGCGCTCTCCTGGTGCGGCCTCCGCGTCCACTCCTAGCAGCTCTCTGCCTCCGACCGGGACTCGGGGTCGCGCGCCCTGACTCCACCCCCTCCCGCGGACTCGCGCACTCCCGGCCCGGCCTCTCCCGGCTCAGGCCTCCGAGCGCCCGGCCGCCCGCCCCCCTGTCCCGCTCGCCTCGCGCTCCCCGGGCGCTCTCGCGCTCTCCGAGGCGAGCGCGCTCCCGGCCCGCGCGCTCCGGGCTCCGGCTTCTCCCGGCTCTTGTCAGTGCGGTGACTGCGCTGGGAAACATGGCGACCGAGGGAATGATCCTCACTAACCACGACCATCAAATCCGCGTCGGAGTCCTCACAGGTAACTGGGGAAGGAGATCCGGGACCGCCGCGGCCGCTGTCGCCGACTTACCTCAGGCTTCTCGCCTGTGGTGACCCTTCTCTGCGGCCCCGGGAGGAGGGAAGGCTGAGGAGGGGACGGGGGAGGGCGTTTTACAACCGCCGAAAGCTGCTGGAGGTTGGGGTGTTCCCGCGGAGACCCCGGGAGCTGGGGCCGGCTCCATGGGATGTCAGGCCCCGGTGCCTTCGTAGCCGAAGTCTCTGGACCCCGGGGACCGAGGGGCCGGTGCGGCTGGCGCTGCGGGGCTCCTGCTGCCGGCGCAGGCGGCGGGATCCCGGCTCCGCAGTCTGAAGCCCTCGGCGGCCCGCGCGCTTCCTCGGCTGGTGCCCGTCCGAGAGGTGGAATCCCACTCCCCCCCGCGCCGCCCTAGCTGTGCTTGCCCCGGGCATTGGCCGGACTCAACGCAGGTGTCCATCCGGCGAAACTCTGCTCCGCTCCCGGCTGCTCCTCGCTAGCCAGGCATCCCCTTAGCCGCCCATGGGACACCCCTCGTCTCCCCCGGGAGGTGGGGGATCGGCTTGCACCCGGACCTCGGAAAGTGCATTCCACCTTCCCCAGCAAAGGGCCCTCTGCCTGCATCTTCCTTTCCTTAGAGTGACAGACTGCAGCCTGCTGCCAGGGATCCAGCCTTTTGGACTTGAGAGGGAAGGATTCCCCCACTCGGGCTCCTCTGTCCCCCTCCCTTCTGGGAACCCCCCTCCGGATGGTCCCGAGGCTTGCGAGGAGCGCACTTTCCCGGGTCTCGTTTCCCTCCCTCGCGGAAGCCGTGTGTGCTCTGCATGTCTGATTCCGTTGCGTTGCATTTGTGTAATATTCCTCAGTTTGCCGATAGGCAGTTGCTGCAGGGCATGACTTCCGAGATGAATATTAAGCCGATTTGTAGGGGTCTCTGCTGTGGTTCTGTACTTGGCAACGTTTATGTGTAATTGAGTAGCGAGGAAAGGGTTAAAGAACTATATTTGGCATCTGAGGGCTTAGTTCGGAGTGAAGGAAATCCAAGTTACTGATGTGATTTCGGAAAAAGAAGCGAGGTAGACGGGAATCCTCGTGTCTCCCCCCACCACTTCTGTTTAATTTTTTTCCCCTTTTCAAATTGATGGGTTGAGACGGCGCTCGAGAAGGGACTAAATTGAATGAGACTTGCTTTTCTTAGGTAGAAAAAAATCTCTGTAGGTAGTTACTGAGTGCAAAGCTTAATTTGGCTGCCGAATTGTATGAAAAGGAGTTATCCGGGGAGATACCGCTTCCTCTTTTAAGTAAACGGGTTGCCTTTCCCTGGTAGTCTTTCCAGATGTTAATGGTGATTTATTGAATTTTGCTAATCCACAGACCCTGGGGTACAGAAACTAGTCTAAACCAGTTGCAGGGAAGGGAACCCCCAAATCAGAAGATGCTCTGTTCTCTTCTTTTGGTGCTGAAACTGTTGTCTTGTGCGAAGATTCAGTTATATCTCAGAATTCTTAGAGTTGGCATTGCTGATTTTCAAAGAATCTAATCGGGGGATGTAAAAGTGTATACCCCATATCAGCCATCAACTTGCACTTGAAATTGTAGCCGTGGTTTGAAAATTAGTAGAGTAGTAAGAGTGAAGCTTAATGAAAGCCAAAGTATGTCAGCTGTGCATGGAAATGAAAGGTCATAGATGTTTTAAAGTTAAATCATAAGAGGTTTTTTTTTGTTTATTTAAGCTTTCCCTAATAGTTTTATTTAGTGAATTATCTTATCTGGGTCAAATAGATAGGTGTTCTACAGAATGCTTTGAAAGATGCAGCCCTTATCTGTATCCGTACAGTCGGATAGTGATAACAAGGATTATGCAAACAGCTACAGAAACAATGTATGTAATTATTGTGTTAAAACTAAGTAAATACTCGTGTTTGGGGGCTAAATGTAAAAGGAATTCCATATTCAGCTGGATTAGGAGTAAATGTGGTTATCTGAAGAGAGAATTTAGTACATTTACCAGAAATTAAAGAAACTGGCATTTTTAAGGCAAGTTCAAAGTCACTGGCAACCTTATAAATGAATATGTTGTTGAGGATGAGACTCTTGAGCAGAATAAAAACGTAAAGCAAAGGCCTTGAAAAGCTGAGGTGGGATCGATAAGTGGCAGAGGCAAAATGTCAAGGTGAGAGGATAACTTTGGCAGTGAAATTAAAGATAATCTGGAGAAGCTGTCTCATGAGAATGAGGCACAGTAGTTTAGGAGTAAGTCTAGGGTAAGGAATAAGAATGTAGCTGAAGGGATGAAAAGGAAGTTGCAAGTTTGGGAGAAGTGGTAACAGAGGACAATAGGATTTGATGATAAAATGGATATGTAAACTTGGAAATAAGTAAGGTTTTTTTCTTGAAAAGTTATTGATACAAATATTGTCTACTATGGTGGAGGCTGGAAAGGGGGAAGAATCAGAGGAAGGGGCACCAGCCTGCAGTCTGCAAATAGTGGATTTTATTACAGATAGCTAATATTTGTGGTCTTGACAGTCCATGTAATTTTGCGCAAAAAAAAAACCCCTACAAAAATGAAACTGTGTGTGCAGTTTTGTCTTGTAGAACTTCAAGTGCTGCAGTTTTATTATGTAAAATTATTCTTTACTGAATTTAAGTGCTATGATTTCATACTTAAGAAAATTGAGTTGAGGCCACACTTAAAACTGATTTTATGAGTTATAATTTGTGCCTCTCTTAAAGGTGTTGGGCTTGTTTTATAAAATATCCTTGTGTGCTTCATAATAGTGATTTTAAGTATTTTATCTAAATCTCTTTTATAGAGGTGGTGGAAAGTGTTGTCTACCCATGAACACATTTTACAGTCTTTGACTTCTTTTTGACATTTTTGATTATTTGTTGAAAGATAATATTTATACTTTGAAACTTTTCATCTTCTGTATGTTTTTGTAATCCTCATCTCAGCTATGAATTTGGCAAATATGGTATTCAGTCTATGGAGACTTCTTATCAAGTGAATTAACTATTAGAATTTTGAACAAATAATGGTAGAAAGGAAAATATTTAGTAATGGCATTTCTTTTTTTGCTTGACTATCTTGAATCATTTAAGACTTGGAAATCAGATTATGATAATTAATGTAACATGGATATTTTAGTTATACTAATTTTTTATCAGGAAAATTGGAAACAGTTATGTATATAAAAATAGTTTATCATGGAAACATGTTATGTTGAACATTATTGTCCATCTCTAAGAACAATATCTTTATTAGTAACTATCTTACGTTGATTTGCCAGAAATGAAGGTTATATGGTTTTTGGTGACCTAAGATCTAGTTTTAAATATATCTTTTTCTAATGTTCTCTACTTCTATTGCTATTTATAACAGAAACTAAAAATAATGTGATGATTAATAACACAAGGCAAACAAGTATCTGCTGCTTTGAAACTAGAAACAAGATGTGGGGCAGATGTAGGATTTTTTTTCTTTGATAGCCTTAGTAGTAGTTACACTTGTAGTCACTCTTCACAATTACATAGCAGTCTCACTATATTTCAGAGGTGTCAGTTTTCACCTACTTTTTTCCATTTCTAAAGAAGCTGTTTATTTAGCGAGCACACTAGTTCTACCACTATAAAAGCTCCACAGAAATATCGGGAAAATAATGAATACATGTATGTATGTAATATAGAATAAGATAGATTTTGTTTCATTGGCTATTTAATATCATATTAATTTTCCACTGCTAATGTTTGGTACCAAAGCACTTAGCTACCTGTTATCTGTTATCTTATCTGTTACCTAAATTTTCACTAACAGGGGCCGGCCAGGTGGTGCAGCGGTTAAGTTGGCACCTTCCGCTTTGGTGGCCTTGGGGTCTGCCGGTTCGGATCCCGGGTGCGGACATGGCACCACTCATCAAGCCATGCTGTGGTAGGCATCCCACATATAAAAAAGGTAGAGGAAGATGGGCACGGATGTTAGCTCAGGGCCAGTCTTCCTCAGCAAAAAGAGGAGGATTGGCAGATGTTAGCTCAGGGCTGATCTTCTTCTTCTTCTTCAAAAAAAAATGTTTTTTCACTAACAGTGGGATGGATGAGAAAAAGATGCAAATTTTTAGGAAAGGGCATTTTCAAATCATATTTCTGCTCTAGTAATATACATTTTTATTGCACTAAGTTGTAAATTTGTAACCAGCAAGAGATAGTAGAACAAATATAAGACTAGATAGTAGAGATAAAAGACTAATTGTAAACTAGAACATCAAACTATTAGTTACTAATGTAGGGAATATTTGTCATTCATAAATAAAGTCATTCAGAATATTAAATAACGAAGTTCTAAGGCAAGGAGATGATAATCATATAACTCTGGAATTGTTCAAGCATTTATTTTTTCGTTCCTCAAGCTTATTCTCATACATTATAACTGTCAACATTATTTTCTGAAAAGCCCCCTTATTGATAAGGATATATAAATATATCTTTATTTTGAGAATAGATGTTGTCATTAAGCAGGCAAATCACTATTGCAAACAAAACTAAATCCTACCACGTGGAATTGTCTGTTCTGGCAAACATACCGGTATTGATCTACATGATGTTAGAAAGAAACCTATTCCTCAAACTAGGTCATTCTTTCATGAATTTTTGGTCGGAAGCAATATATTAGAGAATTAAATGTTTAGTTAAAGTAGGAAATCAATAAATTTCTAATGAATACACTTAATACTATCATCACTGGCCAAAGACTTCATAGACTATTCATACATAGGTTGTTATAAATTGAGTTTTAACTATATTAAAAACACACATGACTATTTGACTAACTGAGGTATATGGTAGAGAATCAGCAGTATGTTATTGGGGAAGTAATGATGAATAAGAGTCTGTTTTTACTGTTATAGGTGATTCCTGGTTAAATTGAATAAGGTGCTTTTTTGAAACAGTGAGTAAAATAGATAAAATCTATACTTTGCTCCTATAAATAGGATTGAAGAACAATGAAG